TCACTCTTAAAATTAGAATGTGTAGTCTTTGTGTATGTGTGTGTGTTTTTAATGTAAGGGTCACCATTTACAAGGCCCGGGGACCACTCGAAGTAGAGGATTACGTTAGAAGGCAATTTATACGGATAAGAGCGAAATGGTAACGCTTAACCCTAGCCTTGAACACGTTAAGATTGTTGTGATCGGGCCATCATCCTCTTGGGAGTTGTTTACACAGAGCAATGATTCGCTGCAAGAAGCTGTCAGGGATCAAATTTCACCGATGGAATACGCAAGGAAATGTAGTCGATTTGTAAGTGGAATGGTGTGTCTTTGCAGTGAAGATTTGAATTGGTGAGACCAGGAAATGTAGTTCGTCCAAGTACTTCCGTGAAAGTAGCGATAGAGTGGCGGATGTGGGGGCAGTCACTAGAAGAAGGCGAAACTGTTAGGTCGTCCTCGAGTATAGAATCCAGAGGTTGGCAGTGAATATTTCGGAGACATTAGGAAAGCGTAGTGCAGGTTCGCAGTGGATATCACAGCAAGGTAGCAGAGCGTAGTTCTTCCGTCTGTTCTGTTCGCCGGACGAGTTTCCTCTGGTCAGGTTGGTAGGAAAACAAAGATGGCCGCCTTTATACACGACGGATACAGTGTTGTGCGGCTTCTGATTGGTCAACCTTCTATTGGTCGACTATAAAGGGAATTAAGTCATTTTGACTCGCTCACTAGTTATACAGTATATACCCAAAAAACCGTAACAGAAACGGTAAAACTTTCGAAACGTTGGGAGAATTACAACCGAGATCTGGACATTAGTCCAACTGTAAATAATATATAAGTTTATGAATATATTATTTTGAAAATTAAAAAAAAGCATTTTCTTCTACTCAATTCGGATAAAATTGCTATTATTCTTATTTAAATATTTACATTAATGTCTTTAAGAATAGAGTTATAAATAACATCCTGTACAATGTGTTAACAGGACTTACACACCTCTCTTTAATCCAGTTACCCGTACACAGCTATATATACAATCGCCTTCTAAAATCAATGTTTGAAAACAGCTTTTAGCAAGTGAATTCTGTAGATCTTGACAAAAACCAGCCTTCTTCGTACATTGTAGACTGGCGCTCCAGAACCACAAACAAAGAATCCTATCAAATCAATTGAGGACTTTCAACATCGGCAACAACTAAAATGAATAGCACGCGTAAGCCGATGATAAAAGAATTACATTATCAAGAGTTTGATGGCCAACCCTTCTTCGAACAAAAATTGACGAAGGAAGCCCCCATCAAACTTGGAAATAGCGATAACAACTAATGGTCTTAAGAAATCTATATTCCTGAAAAAAAATGGTTTTAAGAGAGAGATTTTATAAATTTCGACCGATAACAGCAATGGCTGCTCGGTCTGTGAATGCCGGATGTTTCCAGATAAGGAAGCGACTAGTATTACCAAGTGTCATTACCAGGGAAAATAGATACTCAGGATTCTGAAGGAAACAAGTGATAGTGATTTTAACAAATACTGTGTTTTAATTCTGATCCCCACAGTGAATGACGGTCAGAATATGTTGCGACGAAAAAGCATCTATAATTAACTTGAAAGAAAAAAAATGTTCTCAAATTATTCTTAACAGATTATTATTATTATTATTATTAGGAGGAGGAGGAGGAGGAGGAGAAGGTTCTGAGTCATATTCGACCTGGACAAGTCAGTCGATAATAAATCTGCTTATTCATTGGCTTTGTAAGTATTAGAATGAAAGAAAGTGTATTTGTCTAATAAGCAATATCAGATTTTTCATAAAAAATGTTAACGGAAATGCTGAAAACTAATTAGGCAGATACAGATTTGATTTTTCTTAAGTTTACTTACAAATATATTAATTAAAGGACGGCTTCGATTTTTATCCCATGACACCACCTGTATATATATATATATATATATATATATATATATATATATATATATATATAGTTTATGCAAATTTAGGTAATCCGTATGGGTAGACCTGAGAGGATGATATCCAGAGAGCCTCAATGTAAAATTCAGAGCAGATATGTTTTGAATAGAAGACAGACCACGTTAAGATTCCATGTATAAGCTATTTCACCATAACCCCTTTAACAGGGGTTATGGTGAAACTGAAAGCGTCTAAGAATTTGAAATGAAATCTGTCGTGTAATTTATTGGGGTTGTTGGAACGTCTTCCTTAATGTAGTCCTTATCGCTAACCCCTTTAACCACCTTTATCTAGAGACGAGACGCGTTAGATTTGAGCAACATCCAGCCGACACACTGGGGTTAAAATAGGAAACTAATATGATACATATGAGACACTCATATCCTCTCTCCCCACCTCACTTCCTCACTTCGCTAACTTTGCGTATACTTGATGAGGTCCGTAAAAACGTGTGAATTTCTTTTCATTTTTCATTTCAGCTTTTGGAAGTAAAGTCTGATGATCCAGAACCCTGTTAAAAAGGGTTATGGTGAAATAGCTTATTACATGGAATCCTAACGTTGTCTGTCTTTTATTCAAACATATATATATATATATATATATATATATATATATATATATATATATATATATATATATATATGAATAATATAGACAAATTGTGTATACTTATTTTTATGATGATCCTTTCCAGTTGCCTAATCAGTTTCTTGATATTAAGATGAAATTCATCAAGGAAGGTGCCGTAGATTTTTTTTTAACCCAACTACGTTCTATCAACTTCAGGGTTAAATTAAAATGAAAAACATGTTATTTTTAGCTGCGATAAAATCTGCTTTACTTTATCATTTTTAAAAAATGATTTTTTAAAAAAACGTGCGAACACGCTCTGTTAGTGTTATTTAAGCATTTTGAAATGTATCCCTTGTACTTATGAAAGTTTTTACAAAACAAGCGTTTCAGCATACGGGAGCTGACCGGAAATTGGGAGAAATGTAAAATGGCATTAAATGTTATATGCATTTTAATATGTTGTTGCTATATTCGTAATATACTTTGTTGAGTCTTGGTCGGTTGATTTTGATATAGAGGCCATCGAGAATTTGATGTTTTTGTTTATTATTTTCGTTGTGTGGATCAACAAATATTTTCTTGTATTATAAAGGTGGTCGGGATTGTATTTTTAATTGGGCAATAGATCTTGTTTTCGACAAATGCAGTGTTAGACGTCTTTTTATTGTTGTGATCGCTAAGCCAACACATATAGTTATTTTTTTGTCAGAGATACAATCTTCCAAATGATACGTAAACTGATATACAATGTTGTTTTTTTCCCGAACAGTAGGTGACGAAGAAGAGCTATTGCGTATTAAGATGGTTGTGTCAAATTTAGTATAATATATAATTGGCTTTATTTTTACTGGGATCAGTGGTGGATATATTATAATTTATGAGGTTTTATAGTAGTTTCTCATCTTGTTTAATGTTAGAAGTTATTACAGTATAGTAAGTTGATTAGGGTTATTTGAGGAAGGATTATATAGTCATATTTTTAATGGTTCGTTAATTTGTTCAACGATGTAATTAGGAAAGTCATTAATAATGAGTGTTTGGTTAATGTTTTTAATTCAGTCTGTAATTTTTTTCGTGCATAAGCTAAATTTTGTACAATAGCTTTTTTGTAAAAGCTCATTCATGTTGATAGTTTAGACCGCAAGCGTTTATGCCAGTTGGTTTAAGCTAGTTCATTACCGGAAAGTATCAAAGAATCAGTATAAATTGCGTAGACACAATATGGCTATATTATTCAATGAAACGTTTAAATGAAGATATACTGCCTAAACACACATACAAACACACACACATACACATATATATATACATACATAAAGACATGTAATTATATATACATACATATAGACATTTATCTATCTATCTATATATATATATATACATACACATATATTTATATATATATATATATATATATGCATATACACCTCTATTTATATATATATACATATACACATCTATTTATATATATATACATATCTATTTATGTATATATATATATATATATATATTTTATTTATTTGTAACAAAACAGTTATTTCTGATGAAAAATTGAGGACAATTTGAAATATCAAATATATATATAAATAAATAAATATTTTCATAAAATAAAACATTATAATTTTTAATTTGAAACTTTTTCTATATATATATACATACATATACACATCTATTTATATATATATATATACATATCTATTTATAAATATACTTATCTATTTATATATATAAATATACATCTATTTATATATATATATACATACACATCTATTTATATACATACACATCTATTTATATATATATATATATACATACACATCTATTTACATACATACACATCTATTTATATATGTATACATATACACATCAATTTATGTATATATATATATATATATATATACATATACATCTATTTATATATACATATCTATTTATATATATATACATATACATCTATTTATATATATATACATATCTATTTATATATATACATATCTATTTATATATATAATATACACATCTATTTATATATATATATATATAAATATACATACACATCTATTAATATACATATACATCTATCTCTATATATATATATACGCATACACATCTATTTATATATATACACATACATCTATATATATATACACATCTATTTATACATATATACACATACGCATCTACATATATATATATACATATACACATCTATTTATATATATATATATGCATATATATACATATATATATCATATATATATATATATACATACGTATATACATAGATATATACATAGATATATACATATATATATATATATATATATATATATATATTCATATTATATATATATATATATATACATATATATATATATATATATATATATATATATATATACACATATATATATAAACATATACACATATATATGCATATATATATATATATATACATACACACATATATACATACATACATATAGATAGATAGATAGATAGATAGATAGATAGATAGATAGATAGATAAAGTATGGATAAGAATCCTACAAAATGATACGATGAAGAACAAGTAGGAAACAGATCGCAATCTAACATATTTCACTTTATTAATGCATCGTTATTTCTGTATTGTTACCTGATGAATTTTTTAATTATGCGAAATATATTAAACTGACATTTCTATCCTGCTTGTTCTTTATTCTATCATATATATATATATATATATATATATATATATATATATATATATATATATATATCTTATATGAAAGAGAGAGAGAAAGAAAGAACAAAAAAATGTAAACATGCTTGATTTTCAATAAAATTACGGGCGATTACCTTCTTGAAAAAGTATACCTTGATCATTTAATGCGGGGCATTATAATTTTTCTAAACATTAGGAAAATAATTTTATCTGTTATTCAGTTGTCGCTTTAGCCAGTAAGATTTTTGGAAATCTAACACTGAATTTTAAAAATCTTTTCAGGAATAAAATAGAAATCTTCCAATGTTTTTTTTTTTAAATATTTTTTAATCCTATTACCCACAAGCGAAGCAACAAAGCCACTGACAGGTGGATCGTTACTGAGTTTGAAAGAATATAAGGAAAACATTAATGAGTGAAGACAGTAAAAGTAGACAAATTAAGAAGACAGGAGATAATGACTGACATTGCATTTCAATTTTCGGAAATGAAACTTGACTGGAATGCAAGAAGCTGGAAGAGATTTCCACAAGCGAGAAGTGCGATAGAACTTACGGTTATATCTAACCATTTCGACTGTAAAATGATGAGATCTTGCCGTTAATCTAGTACCGCGTTTAAATTCGTAAAGTCTGGGTGCCAAAGATGAAATTTTATCAGAACAATTACCATGAAAGTATTTATAGAAAAGGTACAGGTGTGTTATGCTACGCCGGTGAGAAAGTTATTACAGCCAAAATGCAAAGTCAGGATCAGCCACATTGCCGATTCTGATTTGGATTTTATCAAGCAATGAATTTATGAATAGAGTTGTGTGCATTATGTAAATTCAATATATAATCCATATGACAATATATAATCCATACGGTGAAATTAACCGTTTCCTTATAAGGAAACATTCGGCATTCATTAACAGAACAGTTAGCACTACTATAGATTGAAAATTATAAAACTTTTTTTCTTAAAAGACTTTTCCAGGAAAGCAGATCACTAACTGCTATAACTCTTTCTATTAGTAGTTGCAATTTCCATCCAAACCTTTTGTTTAGGTTAGTGCAGAAATTCAGTATCTTGATTATATCATTATATCTCCTTCTAGTTATATGTGAGGTTTACGACGATTACGACCGTATCATGTTGAAACACCGGTTCGATCATCAAAATTAACAACGTCGAACCCAGTCAAAACCTAGACGGGAGACCACTTGTAAATACCAGATGCTGTACGCTTGAAAGTATTGTCGTGCAATGGATAACAGCTCAAGTCGGGTTCGTTATAAACAATGACTCGCAAATGCAATTAGCAAAGTCATGTCTCTACCTCTTTCCCCCATCTACGGATTAATTAGTAGGATTTTTATCTGTAAAGTCTTATTATCTCCAAATATAATTCTTTCAGTCTAAAAAATATGTTCCAAGTGAAAACATCCCGAAAAAGGTTGATTTAATGTAAAAATAAGTAATCAATTAATCAGTTATATATTTGCGTTGTTTCTAACGTTGAGAGTTTTTAAGAGAGATATTGTTATAAAAAAATGTCTGCGAATTAAATGTTGTTATTAAAATAATGTTTATAAGAAGTGTGTCTATCAGTGTTAGTATCAATTTATTTAGACAGTTATAAGTGAAAGAAAGAAAGAGAGAAATGAATGAAAGAAAGAAAGACAGATATAAAAGAAAAAAGAAATAAAGAAAGAAATGAAAGCAATAAAGAAAGAAAGAGAGAAAGAATGAGAGAAATGAAAGAAAGAGAGAGAAGAAAGACAGAAAGAGAGAAATGTAAAAAAGAAAGAAAGAAAGAAAGAGAGAAATGAAAGAAAGAATCAGAGAAATGAAGGAAAGAATCAGAGAAATGAAAGAAAGGGAGAAATGAAAGAAAGATAGAAATGAAAGAAAGGAACAGAGAAAGCGAGAAATCAAAGAAAGAGAGAAATGAAGGAAAGGAAAAAAGAAAGAGAGAAATTAAAGAAAGAAAGAAACAAAGAAACAAAGAAAGAAAAAAAAAGAAAGAAAGGAAGAAAGCAAGCTTCATTGTCATGGTTTGGCCGATCGCCTCTAACCGCGTATGTTTTATTGCCTCGGGGGCTAAAATGCATATAACAGAGAGCTATTCCTTCTTTTTCGCCTTCACCGAAGCATTTGACGGAAGTGACGTCAGCTGCGTCTTTGGTCTCATCACACAACCGAATAAGCTACAGTGGGTATAGATATGACCAAGCGTAATAATAAATTATCGTTATTGTAACTGCGCTATTTCAATTAATAATCTATTTCTTTCCACATGAATATATCGACCTTGCTATCAAGGAAATGTTGTTGTTGCACGAAATATTTTGCTACTATTAAAGTGTTTAAGTTTCTATAAATACATATGATCATTTCATTTGTTCCAAGCGCCTGAAAGACATGTAACTAGCCTGCAATGTCGATTTTGACGTAAACAAGTCTGTTTACCTATGCATTTACGACTTCGTAGATAGAACAAACTGTCATGATAGAAACTTTACGAATATATAAAGCAATAGCACTTAGGACAAGTAAGACTAAAGGCCAAGATCTAATTAGGAACTTGTTTGCAGAAAGATCGATCTCAGTTGAATTGATTCTAGAATTTTGCTGCACAATCTTCCGTAAATTATCTCGGTTTAGCCGAGAGTTTAGTAAATAAAATAAAATAAAATTGTAGAAAAACAAAAGATATTGTTTAAATCTACGTTTTACGAAGTTAGAATTTAAAATCTATCCATATATAAAAACTTGGTCCGTTCGTCCAGCGCATTCTCTAAAATAGCCATACATTAACCAATCGAAACCAATTTTTGCAAACAGGTAAGAGGGTACAAAGTACATTTGATTTTATTACTGTGTAGCTTAATACGATATTTTTTTTATTAATTTTTGGGGAAAAATGAAAAGTCTTTTTTTTTATTGAACGAAACGTAGTTTGTAAATCTCAACAAAAAATGTTAGCGATAACTTCAACAATAATGTAAGGATTTCAGCACGTATCGCGCTTTGCAAAAAAATCTAGTTACTAAATTAAACCTACTTTACGTATAAGGCAACCCCTGAATTTTTGGTGAATTTTTTTTTTCATATAGCTCCTGTATAATTCAACTTTTGAGCAATACTAGTAAGCCTACCGTCGTCAAATATTGCAATACTGGGTATCATCCTGGACATATTTTATGTCAAATAAATTGTATACATGACGAGCGTAAAATTAACGTAAAATATCTGATACGAAGTTTTAGATACCATATTTTCATTTTCATTAATGCCTGACTAAGGTAGCTCCTTTACGCGTAGCCTGCCTTACACGTGACCTAAACGTCTTCCCTTTTGTCGCAGTACGAAGTGTCAAAGATCATCCAGTATGTATGTCACTTAAAATCAACAAATACCTTGTATAAATGAAGAATTACTACATTTTTCCTATCTCACATCTGCATTCATCTTCATTTTAGAAAGAAATAATCTAGGCTACGGGGTGCAGGCTAAAGTGGTTTATAGGTAACGTTAGGATTAGTAGAGGTACCCTGGTAATGTAGGCCTAGCATTTAGGTTACGGTCACTGACAATTCATGAATTTTGTAATCTCAAGAGTGAATGAATATATATATATATATATATATATATATATATATATAAAACATTTTATATATTTTAACATTCTTATTATAGATACAAGTATTTTAGTAAATGCTCTGTTTATAATAAACAGTATTAAATAACATTTACCAGCCTATGAAAAATTCTCGGACATTCAGGCCGGTAAATGTTATTTAATACTGTTTATTATAAACAGAGAATTTACTAAATACTTTGTATCTATAAAAGAATGTTAAACATAAAATTCTTTAAATAATTGTCGGACTTTATCCATTTCATAATATATATATATATATATATATATATATATTCATTCACTTTTGAGATTACAAATATCACACACACACACACACACACACACACACATATATATATATATATATATATATATATATATATATATATATGTGTGTGTGTATGATACTACAGTTGATATAAAGGTTTTACATTCCATCTGATTTCATTTATTTTTAGACGATCGTTGAATGTTAGAGCAGCAAATGGTTTAATAACATTCAAATGACAAAAGTTAGTGCCGGCAGTGTTTTAGAGTTTCAGCTATGAGGTTTTCGAAATTGACAATACGAAATTGTTCGGGAGCACAATTTACCGCCACGACATCAATTATTGGCAGATTATATGATGAACTTCTGCGAACATGATGTGTGCTTTTGACAAAACTTATTTAGCTTCTAGAAGGTTTCGTTGTGTTTATACACATATTCACATAAACCCCACCGTGAGGAGAGGCAGGATACACACTTTCAAGTCCTTACATAACATGTCAAGAGAGCTTTGAACAAAAAAGGCGTGTCCCTTAAAAGAGAAAGTTGAGAAGGCTGTTTCTCGACTGAACGACTCCATAGGCATTCTTATAAAATAATGCCTTCATGGTATATACTTACATACTTTACCAAAAAGCAAAATATAGTAATAACAACAATATCGTACTGCAGATTGGAGATTGACTGTTTTTTTTTTTGCTATATGTAATATGAGAGCTGGCTCATAAGTCGTTGCTAGATCTAAAGTCTTTTTGTCGGGCAGTTTTTGCCTTATTTCATTTGGCAGAATTTCATTAATAAAGACATCTGTAATAGACTTATTTTGACCTTACTCTACTGTCAATGCCTTAAAGTCGCAAATAGAGATTAGGGTTTTCAAAGTGTGTAAATACGAGCCATAAATTTCATCTAGTTGCAGCCGAGTAGCAAAGCAATGACGACTGCAAATAGTATTTTATTTGTTTAAAGAACATTCCTTTTGAAATACCAAAAGAGGTATCTCAAGCTTCGCAGATATATTTGTATAAATCTGGGTAGAGAAATGATGAAGTAAGAATGAAAAATTGTTTCGTACCTGATAGTCCACTAGTGGATGATGATACTAGGACTCTAAAAATTCTCGAAAAAATATCCCCCTTGACGCCAGCTATTTTTCTGCGTTCGCGTTAGATGACATCTAAGCGTTCAGTACTTTTCCATAGTAAAGGTGAACAAAATGTAATAAAAAAATAGATTCGTTTGTAAAGCTTTATTCAGCGTACCTT